ATTTTGAATTTGAAATTACCAACTTTTGCTATAATACTGACAGCCTATTTGGGATTGATTTTTTTTTTTTTGCCCAAAAAATTGATTTTTTGACTGTTATTTCATTATTCCATCTGTCATATTTGACTTCTTCTTTCACAGATGGATCCCACTTTTTTTCTAACGGTTAAAAAATTAATTCTTAAAATCACTCTCAAACAGGCTCTGAATTTGTGCTAAATCAAACAATCTTGTTTTACTCGGTTCATGTCAAGTACATGATTTTTATTTACATCAATATTGAATATAGTATATTTTTCTCTTTATTTTCTTCTTCACTAACTCTAGTCGAGTAGGAGAGAAAAGATTCACAAAATGCATTCCTTTTACCTTACTTATCCATTGTTGATGAGGATATGCCTAACTCGACTCGACTAGGATCAAGTAAGGGAACAAAAATCTAATAAACGATTTTTGCCCATTTCTTATTCTTTAACAGTGTCTTGTATTGTACAAGTCTAACCTACCAGCATCTTCACATTATTCATAATCTAACCACTGTGTTAGTGGCATCCTGATAGTTGCGATAATCAAGGGAGATTATATTCTATATAAACGGTTAATTAATCCAATCCGTATTATTATTTATTAAGTGTCACATTGAAAAATAATTAATTGACTTAAAACAAGCGTAAAGTGAACTTAATTACCTGGAAAAGAGTATGGCAATATTCATTAAATATTGTCACTACAGTTTGCATTCCAACCTAGTACAGATGATAGTGGAGTTAAAAGTGCTTAGTTCTTAATTAGTTTTCTTCATCTCAAGTTCCCTATAAAAGCCCTTCTCTGATCCTCCCTTTACACACACTTAAATTAAGTTCGCTTTCTTCTAAGCCCGAAAGTATTCTTGAAACAACTGAGAAGAATCTCTACACAAGAATGGAAGGAAGAAAAACGGGTGTATTCTTCACTGTTTATGTCATGGTTCTGATCATGAGTTTTGGAGAAAATGGAGCTATGGCTGCAACTGAAATTGTTGGTGCTCCTGCACCTGCACCTGGAATGGAGAGTTCAGGAATGGCACTGTATGTTCCAGCTGCAATGGCTGCCATTATTTCTTTGGCTACTATGTTATTCTGAACTTAATTTCTGATGTTCCTTGCTTATTTCGTAACTAAGTGACGAGAGAGATGTTTGGTATGCTACATCGGACAGTACTAGGTTAAATATCTATCCAGTGTCATGTATAGTACTATTCAATATTGCATACGAAACATCTCCTCTTGAATAATCAATTAATGTTGTTGTCCACTCGAAATTTGGTTTGATTTCAGTTGGAATTAGTGTATGTGATAATATTGAACTTCGTCTACGAAGTTTAGTTGTGATATTAAACAGAAAATTAAGTCCATTCTATGCAAGAAATAAGAGAGGAAATTTAAAAACATGGAACAAACAAGATCTTTTTCCTTGCGCTATCATTTTTCATTTTCCCATAGCCAAGAATCCTGGCAGGACACTGAAAACCCTAATGGTAGTTAACAAGTATCTGGTTTAAAAATCATGGAGTGCTTAAAAATTATAACATTCTTCAATCTTCTGATAGACCTCCCAATTAGTCATGCAAGTTTGTTACTCCATATTCTAGAGTGTTCCAATCTAGTTAGTTATCAGGGATAGTTTGGGGAATAAGGGTGGAAGTAGTAGTATAAGGGTATGTTTGATTCACTTCCGATTCCATGGATTTCCATTTTCCACTTTTGTTGGTGTTTGATAGGCATTTATTTCTTGACAATTGGAATTCCGTTTTTGCTTCACAAGGTGACGATTTCTTGCTTTTCATTGAATTTGTTTTCCTACCTATATGGTGGGAAATGGAATTCCAGATATTTTTATTTTTATTTTTGTTGGCAATGGAAATAAATTCTAAGAATTATTGTAAAAAAAAATATTTCCCTTTAATTGGCAATTTCCATGTAAAACAAAGCCAAACGAACACCAAAAGATAGATGATTTTCTTGAATTTTTCGTTTTTTTTTTGGCAATAGAAACAAATTTATTCCCTAATATCAGTAAAATCTATCCCTTTAAATGACAATTTTCATGTAAAATAAAGCCAAACGAATACCAAAAAATACTTTTATTTCAACATTTTTCACGTAGAAAATTATACCAATCAAACACAATAATTTACAATTTTCAGGAAAACAATTTCTAAACAATTCAATTCTCAGTCCCATTCAAACCATTACTATGTAACTTCATTAATAAATATAACGAGAATGATTCATGTACATGCCGTGCAGAGCTTGAAAATTATTTCAGTGCAGGCAGGACTTAATAAAGGTAAAAATAAAGAAATAATGTAGTATGAATACTACATTAAAATAGAGAAACAATGCAGGTGAATAATGGCTTCTACCTAATAGTGATACCCAGAACACAATAAACATCAAGTAGAAAATGGAAACAATACAATCTCATTCAACAATACTAAATCTTGGCTAGCACACCAAACAACAGATATACTGACACATTGGAAATCTAAAATTTTAACCAAATGATGAGGGAATACATATTACAAATCGAGAATTGCAAATAAACATCCCCTATTTAAATGTGAAAATCAAAGACAACTTTTCTAAGTATTGGCCTAATATGCAAGAATTAAGCCAAACGATCATAGAGGTTGACACAATGGCTGACCGTGCTCTCATGGCCGAGGTGAGTCTCGCTTGAATTTAAAATTCCCGATCCCCATGTGTCTGTGCGGTCATCCCTACGATTTGTGTAGCTCAGTCCATATCATATGCAGCAAATGCCATTGACCCCACGCCACCAGACCCAAAAAATAACCTCGTTCTTAGGTGGATAGTGTTGCATATAGACACAATTATTACTACATGTATCGTCGGCTACGAACTTGCTTTCTAAATATCTCAAAATGTTATATTCAATCCATAAATGTTGGCCTTTTATTTCTGCTTTGACTAAATATTAAAATGAAAATTCGCATTATAAGTAATAACAATGAAATAAAAGCAAGGAGATTTGTGGTAATTCAATCAGAGAATAGAAAAAATCTGTCACTTCTACAGTTTTGATAAAAAAATTGAGAAGGAAGAAAAAAAATTTACAGAAGAAATTTAGAATATACCACATGCTATTCTAAGTCAGCAGCTTTTCACTAACCAAACCCCAAAAAGAATACTATAACCCAGCTGGTTTCTTGAAAAGCCATGCATTTTATTGTAAGCGGTCATAACGTATGCAGAAATAAAAACGTAAAATCAGCAAAAAGTGAGAAACGGATAAGCTGTAAATACTTAAAGAGAATAAACAGAAACACATTTGGAAGATAAAAATTGAGCCACCCCTCATTCCTACTTGCTCCATGGACCTTACTCCTAGCAAATAAAAATGGCTAGCCTGCCCTGTTCCCGGCTGGATTGTTTGAGATTGATTTGGAAAAGAACAAAGAAGAAGAGGGATTGATTTGGGGACGAAGATGCCTTCAATTTTGAGAGATATCTGGATTGAATTCAATTCGGAGATAATTGGATTGTGTTAAATGTTTCAATTGCCACTAAACTTTGAACTATATCACCGGTTACTCATCGAACTTTAGGTTGCGTTTGATTGTAAATATGAAAAGAAAATAAATTCTATATAATTCAATTACTTAGAACTTATTTGCATGGAAATTGTCAATTAAATGTGTTTGATTGATTTAATTTTCAACCTAAAAAATATTATACTTGTCTGATTTTTATTAGTAGGTGGATAAGAGAGAGTTGATAGATGAGAGAAAGAGAGAGAGAAAGATAGTGAATTACTTGGAAAATAAATTCCTACCTCCTAAAAAAAATATTTTTCTTAATTTTGAAGAAAATATGGTCATGTGATCAAAAGTAGGAAATGTTTTTTATGAAAAAAATATCAATCAAACAGAACAAAAATAGGAATTTGAGCGAAAAACACATTTTTCATGGAAAAAATTAGCAATCAAACGCACCATTGCCAAACATTCCAATGATCACTCAACTTTGTTTATGAGTCATGTTTCAAGGTTCATGCATTCTTCAAGTTATATCCATTTCAAAACAGCAAAACAGGTCTTGAGGTACTTAAAAAGAACTATTGGTTTTGGAGTGTGGTTTCAAAAATCTGTAGATAGCTGTTTGAGAGGCTATTCTGTTAATGATTAGGATGGTAGTGTGGATGATATGAAGAGCTTGTCAAGCTACTATTTTTCTTTCAGCTCAGGCATATTTTCATGGAATTCGAGAGAGCAAGTTGTTGTTGAGCAATCTACTGTCGAAGCAGAATATATAGCAAGAGCAGCAACTGCAAATCAAGCTATTTAGCTCAATTTTTTTTTTTTTTTTTTTTTTTTTTTTGGTGATTTGGAATTTAATCTAGAAAAGGCTACTGAAACTTATTGTGACAACAAGTCTGTTATTACTATGTCAAAGAATCCAGTTCGTCATGGAAAAGAAAGCACATAAAGATCAAGTTTCATGCAAGTGAGGGTAGGTTGAGAAAAATGAAGAAATCAGTCTTTAATATCGCAATTTAGAGACAAATTGCAAGTATCTTCACAAAAGCTCTTTTTAAAGTCAGATTTGAACATCTAATATCAATGCTTAGAGTATCCAACAAAATGCTCAAGGAGGAGCACTGAAGCAATGACCTTTTGCTGTAGACTGTAGTGACTTTTACTGATGCAAAAACCTTTTGTAATGAATGTTTTTAACTTAATTTAAACAAAAGTTGCTAGTACTTCTTAAAAAATAGAGTGGTTGAAAAACTGATCAAGGGTCTATGCATGTATAAAGTAAAACTTTTGTATGAAATATAAATCTGCACTTACTAGCAGTATCTACAGAAGAACTCGTCTCCATTTATAAACTCACATGCTAATTGAAGATGAAATGTAACTTGGTGTGTAACCTACAGTAACGCCAGGCGAAACTAAACGGATAAGTACAGTAAAAGATCAAATGTTACATCGAGTATAGCATATGAAAGAACGAATTCAATTTAAAGAAATGAAGTCGAGTTATAACAAAAGCTTCGTCTTTAGAGATCAAATCACTCTCTAATCCGACATATCCTATTCTAAACTATAATGGTGTAGAAATGCATGTCAAAGCTGTCAAATGTACATCAATACAAACTGAACAAACTTTAGGACCATCTCCAGATTTATATAACTTATTATCTTGAAAGATAACCTTCAGCAACGTGGGTAGCAACTGGGAGGTACTTCAATGTTTAGACAGGTCTGCAACCTTATAATCACCTATTCAGTGAATCCTCTTAAGCGTGTTGACATAAGTATAACTAGAAAACGACACAAAAAGCTTTCGAAACCTGCAATAAGAATCGACAACTGAGAAGATATTACAATGTATTTCAAACCAGTAACAAACGTTATCAGTCTACTACTCTTTCTAACTCTTTTCAGCCCTAACCTCACCTAAGCCCATCTTTCCACCCCACCAAGACCACCCTACTCCCAAAATTTAAAATGAGGATGTCATGAAACCTTTACCATGAATCTTGCTTATGTTAGTAATCTAGATACAAGTTAAAAGTTTTCGAGAATACAAACCAAATCCATTGGCTTCTGTGCTGAGCCATTGCAGCATAAGTCTTACTGGGATCTTCATTGAGCAAGCATTGTAAATGTCTACTATCAAAAAACAAGGCAAATAACTTGGATAACCAGATATCAACTGGTCCACTGTACTTGCGGAATATGCTCTTACTCACCTGAAAATGATTAAAATAACAACCATGGTTTAGGAGCTTAAAATTATAAAAAAAAAAAAAAAAATGTAAAATGGGAAGTAACGTGTTTAGGTTTAAAATTATAAAAAAAAATGTAAAACGGGAAGTCACACGTTTAGGTTTCCCCCTCCCAATGGAGAACTTCATATTCTGCACTCTATATTGACAGTCATCAAATTTGTAAACAGCTGAACACAGAATGTAGACAGAGTGAGACAAAGAATGGCTTACAAGCTCCCAGGCTTCCAGAGGTCTTTCTGAAAAATCATGCAACAGCTTTCTGCATTATGCACAAGAAAGAACCTAATTAATTCTTAGTTTGATGTTACCAGCAACCATTACAAATAATTTCATATGCATCAGGTGTTAGGAACCACTACATAATTGAACTACGTAAAATACAATAGAACCATATTGATCATAAGTCCACATAAAACAGAGAAGAGGTAGCAAGTAAAGAACAGAAAAATAGACTTCAAGAACTTAAATGAGTACTAAAGTAGCAAATCAGAAAAATGAGACGTCAATCCCTAGCTAAACACAAACATGACAAAAGACAATGACAGATGAGAACTTACTGTACACCTCGACCCACATCACGATGGTTACAGTGACCAGAGACACCATAGTGATCAAATGTAATGATCTGGAAAAAAATTAAACTGCAATTATGTATTGCCAGATTAAGTATTTCAAGATAGAAACATAAGAAATCCGTTATGAAAGCAGGACATGAAAGGCCTAAAAGTGGCTAGAATAACCAAATGGATGAAAAAGCTAGTAGTAATTTGGATCACTCAAACCAGTTCTTACTGAGTCAATAGCACGGGTACAGATTTCGTCCTCAACAAATCCTGCTATTAGATTCCAATCCCATACTTTACCAAAACCATCCTAATCACAAGAGCCACATGAAATAAGTACCTCCATATAATCTACAGTGTGAAAAGTACAAATATGAATCAAATTTTTGTGATGCTTCAGAAAGAACCTGCAAATCTGGATGGTCCAGAATCTTCACTTGCTGGTGAGGAATCTGTACAAACAAAATAAAATAAATGAGAGAAACAACCAATACTAGGTAAAGTTTTTACAGGAGACAGCAGTCAGTAAAAAATAATAAGGCAGACCCTTCAAACCCAAGCACCATAAGTAGAAAACGTGCAAATTTTACAGACTAAGGCCACTAGCTTACAAAACATCACCTTGAGTATTGCGGAGGCCAGAAAGAGTTCTTCTTTTCTAATGCTACCCATCCCATCTGCGTCACCTTCAAGAAAAAGAAAAGGAAAAAAAGAAAAAGAAAAAACACTTAAGGTAATAAACAAGATCTCAGTTGAAATAAGTAATATAATAAAAAATAAATAAAAATTGAATTTCCATATATTTTCAGCAGCAGGAAATTTATCCTAATCAACTTAAAGTAATGGCCCACAAAATATAGTTTAGCAGATCAAGTGTTGTTAGACAATGTTGATCTTCTCTTATATGATATGATGATGATGATGATGATGATAACCCTTAAAATACACTTTGTTGCATCCAATAGAATTTTTTGTTTTGACCTCAATGGAGACCTTTAGATAATGAACCTCAAAAGAAGTTAAGTCGACAACTTTGATGATCTCCATTCAAGGAAGCAATTGATTTTACAAATGATTCACATGCTCAGATATAGCTTACAACTACTTCCTCCATAAATTCAATAGGCTTTTCACTAAACGCGCTACCCGTAAAGATCAGCAGGAAAGGCCATGGAGATTACTTGATAAGCAATATGAAAGTACCAGTCATTTCAAATCAGATCTCATCATAAAAAATTTCAAATCTTAACATATTCATTTTATGTCATATGATGATTAACTGGATAGTATCCATGAACAAGATCATACGCTCAGGTTTTCTGAATGCAATGAAGTTTGAAAATTTCAATACAGGTCGATTCTATAGACCTATTACAAAAGTGTCTAATATGATGAGAAGAGAAGTCCTAGGATACATGGAAGAAAAATTCATGAACTTACAGCAGTATTACCAGTTGACAAGCATAGTATGTAAAGATCATGTCCCCTCAAAGTTAGGTAATTAATGGTTGGAGTAAAGAACCTGCAGAATCCAACAGAAGGTTTTACAAATAAATCCAATATATATGATGTCATTGGGCAATAAGTGACTCAAGAAACTACGATACAATGAATGATTTTCTGAACAGTACAAGCTCTTTTCAAGATATTTCTTAGTCTAAATTGGAACATATTTGACTCTTTACTATTTAGATTCTGATTTTCCATACCATGCAAATGATGTCAACAATGCCCACCGTGATATCGGCCAGGAGCTATTTTCTTTCTTTTAGCACAAAATTAACATAGTAAGTAACCCTAGAAAACATGCTTTGTCATACTATGAGAGCAACTAAGCCATTCATCGGGGTCAATTACGTGAATGCTTTTTCCTTGTCTCACTGATAGAGAACTACTTCTTCTTGAAGGTTCAAATTACCAAGTCTTTTGCAAATTAATTCATATATTAAGGCACTAACATTTCAATGTTTTAATGAGAATTCACCACTGCAGCAAAGTACAAATCCCAAGAAACAAATAAATAACTTAATAAAATAAAGTAGGTATTTGATATTCATACACCAGGCAGAGAAGTTCTATCATTAATGCAAACCAGAGTAAAACATAAAATTTTGGAATTCAAACATACATGGACTCATCATCAGGATGCGCAATAACCAGTAAGACGTTTCTCCCAAAAACTCTTCCTGGAAGCACAAATACACATATTAAACTTGAAAAAACTTATTTAAAGACAAAGTATCATATCCGTATTTACACAGATATGCACAAACATAATTCATTACCATCATCTAAGAATGCAGCTTTGGCGTCATGGAAGGATCCACAAAAAAATTTGCAAAGAGAAGCGACCCAGAGTACAATTAACGATATGATGATGATTAGCCATGCCATGTAGAATTCTCCACCAGCAAGCTAAATAAACAATGCCGTAATTTTTTATTGCTTTACTGAGGCATTTCATGGAACAATGTTACTTCAAGATTCACCTGTCCCCTTCAAACCATTACTATGTAACTTCATTAATAAATATAACGAGAATGATTCATGTACATGCAGGGCAGAGCTGGAAAATTATTTCAGTGCAGGCAGGACTTAATAAAGGTAAAAATAAAGAAATAATGTAGTATGAATAATTTATTAAAATAGAGAAACAATGCAGGTGGATAATGGCTTCTACCTAATAGTGATACCCAGAACATAATAAACATCAAGCAGAAAATGGAAACAATACAATCTCATTCAACAATACGTAAATCTTAGCTAGCACACCAAACAAACAGATATTGACACATTGGAAATTTAAAAATTTAATCAAATCACAAGGGAATACATATTACAAATCGAGAATTGCAAATAAAGAGCCCCTATTTAAATGTGAAAATCAAAGACAACTTTTCTAACTATCGGCCTAATATGCAAATGCTAGATCCATATCATATGCAGCGAATGCCATTGACCCCACGCCACCACACCCAAAAAATAACCTCGTTCTTAGGTGGATGGTGTTGCATATCGACACAATTATTACTACATGTATCTTTGGCTATGAACTTACTTTCTAAATATCTCAAAATGTTATATTCAATCCATAAATGTTGGCCTTTTATTTCTGCTTTGATTAAATATTAAATTAAAATTCGCATTCTAAGTTATAACAATGCAATTAAAGCAAGGAGATTTGTGGTAATTCAATCAGAGAATAGAAAAAATCTGTCGCTTCTACAGTTTTGATAAAAAATTTGAGAAGGAAGAAAAAAATTTACAGGAGAAATTTAGAATATACCACATGCTATTCTAAGTCAGCAGCTTTCACTAACCAAACCCCAAAAAGAATACTATAACCCAGCTGGTTTCTTCAAAAGCCAAGCATTTTATTGTAAGCGGTCATAACGTATGCGGAAGTAAAAATGTAAAATCAGCAAAAAGTGAGAAACGGATAAGCTATAAGTACTTAAAGAGAATAAACAGAAACACATTTGGAAGATAAAAATTGAGCCACCTGTCATTCCTACTTGCTCGATGGACCTTACTCCAGGCAAATAAAAATGGCTAGCCTGCCCTGTTCCCGGCTGGATTGTTTGAGATTGATTTGCGAAAGAACAAAGAAGAGGGATTGATTTGGGGAGGAAGATGCGTTCAATTTTGAGAGATATCTGGATTGAATTCAATTCGGAGATAATTGGATTTAATTGTGGGCTTGATTTGGTGTTGGGCCATTTCATTTGACTTTCAAGTGTCAAATGTTTCAATTGCCACTAAACTTTGAACTATATCACCGGTTACTCATCGAACTTTAGGTTGCGTTTTATTGCAAATATAGAAAGAAAATAAATTCTATGTTATTCAATTGCTTAGAACTTATTTGTATGGGAACTGTCAATTAAATGTGTTTGATTTATTTAATTTTCAACCTAAAAAATATTATACTTGTCCGATTTTTATTAGTAGGTGGATAAAAGAGAGTTGAGAGAGAGAGAGAGAGTTACCTAGAAAATAAATTCATACCCCCCTAAAGAAATATTTTTCTCAATTTTGAGGAAAATATGGTCATGTGACCAAAAATAGAAAAATATTTTTCAGGAAAAAAATCAATCAAACAGCACAAAAGTAGGAATTTTAGTTGAAAAAATACATTTTTCATGGAAAATATTAGCAATCAAACGCACCTTTAGAAAACATCCCAATGATCACTCAACTTTGGTATATCGCACTCCATCACTTACTAGATGGATTTTGTCTCACTTGAAGCTGATGTAAATGACGAAATTCCTACGTGACAATTACCTCCTTCCAAATGTTAAATGAAACATATAGGTGGTTGCTAGGTCATCAAAGCATGTCAACACCCAAACACGCCACTAATAAATAAAACTTGAGCCTCATTATTCGAAAAAAAATACATTTTTTAACAGTGATTTGACATCATTTTTCAACCACACATGCTTTAATAAAATAATATTACACTCAAATTCAAAAAAATTCCTTAATTTTTAACCACACATTTACCACCAAGATACTATTCAAAAATGCATTTTCATTCCAATAATGTGGCTCAAACAAGGGCTAAACATAGCTTTCTTAATGAAAAACCCAAAAATTCACCAATGCCTGGAAGAATGAAATCAGTTCATCTCTCACGTCCCAAATCATTTCAAAACACCCCCACAAACGACGACCCCTAATCTGATCAACCGAGGACCACAAACCTTGGATTTACGAAGGCATGCACATGGAGAGACCACATGAAGGTAATTCGAAATCAAAATTTTTTTCTTGTGGGGGCAGAGTTTACACGGTGTTGTGAAATGAAACATTTAACAGCTACTGCTTTCACTAAGTCAGTTTTGGAGTATATTAATATTCTACTGTTGTTTTCAACTATGTTTTCAGTGGCCATTACATATTAATTCTAGGCAACAGTTCAAATACTATGCTCTTAGTTTAGCAAGTTTACCGCAGTCAACAGAATTAAATAAACATTTGAGTTCATTAACTGATATGGTTGAAACAACATATTAAGTTCGACCCATCACAAATGCAAGAAGACAAATATAGAACGGCAAAGTCCTAAAAAATGAACTGATTAATACTCCTCTCAAGTAAGTATTACACGTTTTCCAAGATAAAGATTTATACTTTTGCACTTCAAACGGTAAGAGAAGTACTTATAAAATTTTGGAGGAGAGAAAATTTTGAATAAAAAATTATTTAAGTTAAATCCAGTTGAATACTCACAAGAAAGATCAAAAACCAATTGAATTATTTGCTTCTCTTTGTTGTCCAATTGAAGGGAACATTCAAACAGTGAAAAACCGAGTCTTCATGAGAAAAACAACTTTCTATCATAATGGACTACAGATTAAAAATGATTGCCTATGTGCAGCAGAAGAGTCAAAATATAAGGAAACAAACCTGTACAGGAGATTGAAAAGCCTCATTTGGATCCTAGTTTCTGGGTTATGCAAGCTTAAAAGTTTAATTGGCCGGACCTATCATTTTATTCCTCTTCGGTTGTAATTAGAGACGAATCCAGGACTTCGACTCAGTTAGGGTGGCTGTTGACCGTTGACCGTTGGACGGTTATCAACCATATAGCACCAGTATCACACAATCTTAGAGATAGAGAGAGAGGTGTGTGTATATAAGAGGCGCCGATTTAGTTGGGATGTCCATGTGTAGGTAGCGTTACCTCTTACAAAATAACATATATGTAGAGAGAGAGAGAGAGAGTATAGGATGCTGCTACTGGGGAGCTCTGGCTTTTGTGGTAGGATTTTTGCTTTGCTTAGAAGTCTTTCAAACTTTGAAGCTTGATTTTCATACGTGTGAAAGAGAAAGATCTGACAGTTGCTTCAAGTTTTAAACTTGATTTTTGTTGAATTTTAACTGGCAAACATTTTGGAATGGTATCGCTTATAATTTTTTTACATTTTTAGTTTCTTAAAAAACTTTGGTCATCTATCAAACTTTAAATACTCCTATTAAAGAGAAGTTGCAATACCAGTAGCAGGGGATTTCCTTGCAAAAAAATAGATTGTTCATCAACTAATCAAAATAGAGTTTTACATTACTCTTAACAAACACGATTCTGATGTACTCCGATGATCACAGAAACTTATGTGATTAATATTGGCACCAGAAATTATAACTATCACAATCAAACACATTTTTTCTTTCTTCTTTTTAACTGATTATTGATTGAAGATGACTGACTCTGCAGCCAAAATTAGTATATTCAGCTTTGTTGCTTTAAATTCACTTCCATCCCTCAGATTTCAGCAAACACTTTATGTACACAAAACAAATGACTTTTTAAACCCTTTATAATCAACATCACGGACAATGAGATTATATTAATCAATAAGTAAGCCATTTTTTCTTGACGGATGCCAACCACTTCCACAATACCATACACCAAAAGGCAAAAACTGCCAATTTTTTTCCTTATTTTTTCATATTATTATTAGATAATAAAGAAGACCTAACAATCAAACATACACAAAATTGTAAGTTCTAACTTCTAACATAAATAGATCTCAAAACAAAGCACAATTCAAACTCCCAAAAAAACGTAAAGGGCTTCTTGAAATGGAACAAATTTGTACCTTTGATACCGAAAATGAAATCCCTCTGAAAATGAAATCCAAGAACCAATATGTCTTGATTATTTAAAAGCCAAGCCCCAAGGGTGTTCCGATATGGAATTGGGATTTTTTTTTCATAAGCATTCAACCATTTCAATTCCACCTATGAAAGTTACTTCTGAAGTGGAAATGAAACATCTAATTAAATTGAATCAAGGCCGGAAGTCGACTCCTATTTGCGTAACTTTACTGGGGAAGAATGTCCACGAGGGGGAACACGAAGTTTTAAATGAAGAGAATCGTAATGTAAATGATGTTTGGGATACAATTCAGATTGTTCGTGAAGATGATGTGGTTATTCTCGAGACCACTGCTACTCACCATGGTCACACTGTTACGCACAGAATTCCATCGATAGTTGAAGACAACGAGAATGAAAATGCATTTACAAACGAGGATTTGATTGCTTTATCTCGTAGGAGACATGAGTCGGGTGGGAGCTCGCAGGCTGGACCGAGTACACGGTCCTCTAATTGTTCGCGTGTAGTTCCCGATGATGAAGATGTATATGTCGAGCAACTATTCGAATCAAAGAAAGAATTGCAAGAAGCTGTGCACCAGATTGCTTTAAAACATAACTTCGAGTTTAAAGTGAAGAAATCAAACAAGTCGTTATACACAATTATCTGCGTTGACGACAGTTGCCATTGGCGTTTGCGAGAGACTAAGATGGACACGAATGAGTTCTTTGTAGTTCGTAAGTATGCACGGGAACATACTTGCGAAGTGGGTATTCGTCGAAATGATCATAGGCAGGCCCGATCATGGTTCATTGGTCGAGAAATAATGCACAAGTTCCAGGATCCACGAACGATCTACAGACCTTCGGACATCATTAATGATGTTCGATGTGAGTACGGGGTGGTCATGAGCTATCAGAAGGCTTGGAAGGCTAAAGACTGTGCATTGGAGGATTTGATGGGTTCGGCTGAGGAGAGTTATGCTAAATTAGCCAGGTATTTCATTGTTTAAATGTTTATTTCTTTGTTATAGTAAATTTTAATTATTTAATTTCAATTGTTTATTTATATGTAATTTATTATTTAATTGAATTGTTTATTTTTCTGTTCATTTAATATTTAATATATTATCTAAATTATGATTATTTTTATTTACATTGGCCAGGTATTGCTATAACATGGGAAGAATTAATACTGGGTCGACATTTTTTATTGAGAAGGATGACGAAAATCGCTTCAGATATTTCTTTATGGCCCTTGGACAATGTGTTCGAGGATTTCGAAATGCAATGCGACCCTTAATCTTAGTCGACGGTACAACCCTTAAGGCGAGATACGGGGGCAAGTTGATTATTGCAACATGCCAAGATGCGAACATCCAAATTTACCCTCTTGCGTTTGGCATAGTCGACGGAGACCCTCTTGCGTTCGGCATAGTCGACGGAGAAAATGATGTAGCAATGAGTTGGTTTTTTACGAAGTTGAGGGAAGTAATTGGAGATGTCGAAAATCTTGCATTCGTAACCGATCGAGGGCAGTCGATAATAAATGGTATCGCCGAAGTCTTCCCCGAGGCACATCATGGTTATTGTATGTACCATATACAGGGAAACTTGAAGACCAGGTATCGAGGCAATGGCGTCGTTGCGTTGTTTAGGAGAGCTGCAGAGGCTTACAGTTTTGAAGAGTTTGATAAGTTCATGGTCGAAATAGACAGTAAATCGCATGCTGCATGGGATTATCTAACAGAGATGGGGATTGAACATTGGGCACGATCACATTTTCCAGGACGTCGATACAACATGATGACGTAGAACAATGCAGAGTCGCTTAACGCTTTATTCAAGAAAGATCGAGAGTTACCAATCACAATGGTTGAGAACATTCGTGACAAGTTACAACAGTGGTTTCATAATCGACGTGAGGAATCACAGAGTTGTGCAAGTGTGCTAACCCCGGCTCAAGAAGATAAGCTCTTCAAGACTCTAGATGTGGCAAGAAAGGTATATGTAGAACCACTGGATCAATTTC